AAACATTAGATATCTCATACCATAAAATAAAGAGTTTACAATCGGAGGGCTCACTAGTCCTAACAACATAAAATGGAGAACCACTCCTACAAAGTGGCCTAAACCAAACAAAGTAAGCACCATAGGCATAATCGCAATTAAGAGTACCTAAAGCACTGTGAAGCCAAACAACACAAATTCAAGTCACTAACCTTATCAACAGGACCTAGCTATGGATGTAAAAAAATAAAAAACAAACATCAAGTTAACTAATACAACTACTCAAAGGACACAGAAAAAACAGCAACCTACATTAAACTATACTCAGTCCATTCCATGTGAGCCAGCCGAGCCACAATCTCCTCTGGTATCCATAATTTTTGAAAGACCCACAAATTCCGGGACTTCCATAGCCACTACAAGATATACGTTGACAGTTGAATACGGGCTTCAGAAATGGGTGTTAGCTTCATCTCTGCAATCTGCCACCACCATCACTTAAAACCTGTTGTGGCAGCATCATTGAAATCCAAAGGAAACAGTTGAGGCCTTCCAGACACCCTGAGCTCGTCTGCATTCAAAGAACACATGTGCAACAGAATCTATATCATCACCACAACATCTACAAATAGCATCCACATCCAGCTTTCTCTGCACTAAGTTATGACACACTGGAAGATTATTTGTAAAACACTTCCATAGGAAATGTCTTAACTTGGCCTTGACTTTTAAAGACCAACATCTCAATCTTGCTTTTTTATCCAAAACCAAAGTGTAGCTGCTACTCGGGATATCCAGCTTCAGAACTTTCTGATCAATCACCACAACATAGGCAGAAGCAACAGAAAACTTTCCCTTATCATCTGGACACCAAACCCATCTGTCTCTCTCTTCAGGATTCAGGCTATTCATTTCCATAAAAGCTCTGCAAGAAGAAGTTGTGAAAAGTTGCTGCAACAAATCAATGTTCCACAATCTACCAGATTTAGATATCAGCTCCCAAACCCAAGTCACCCTCAAGCTCTCCACATCTGGATTTAGACATGGAATGCCTGATTTTAGGCCCATCACCCAAGGTTCTGACAATATTTTGGTAGACACCCCATCCTTAACCTGTTTTCTGAAACCATCTTTATGGATGGCCATCACTCTTGCCCATGAATTCCATAACAGGAGGCTAATGCCCTACCTTTAGCATTCAACACACATCCATTTGGAAAATATCTCTCCTTCAAAATCTTTGTCATTAAAGAGTTTGGTTTGGTCAATAATCTCCAAATTTGTTTCAGAATTAATGAGTCATTGAAAACTCTGAAATCTTTGAACCCTAAACCCCCAGCACTCTTAGGAGTAGTAATTTTTTTCCATGACATCCAATGAATACCTTTCTGCTGATCCTTCCCAGAAGACCACCAAAAATTTGCACGGAGCTGAGCTATTTCCTTGCACACACCCACAGGCAAGCAAAAACAGGACATATCACAACTAAGTATATCTTTTGATAATACCACTATTTTGCGCTCTTTCACGTTTTTTTTGCGTTACTTTGCGCTATATTTACGCAACGACATTTAAATAATAAAATATTTAAAAATTTGTATTTTTAAGGATTAGAGTTATATTTTTAAATGACAACTAAAAACTAAAAATTTTGATCATGATTCCAAATTAAAAGTTTGAAAATGCAAAGTCCTAAGTTGAATAGTGTAATATATATCAATCCAGGTCTATTATATCATTATATTTTTTGGTATTTGACATTTAACTTTAAGAATAAACAGTTCAGTTGTTTGTTTTTACTTTTTAGTATATTCTCTTTATTGTTTAGATATTTATATTATGATATTTACATTAAACATTTGTAAGAAATAATTCTTCGATGTTATTTTGAGTTCATTCAAATATTATGATAATTTTTTGGATCAACCATCCAGCTTTATTATTTGCAAGTATATATATAATATTTCTATAAAAATAATTTTTTATACTCAAATAGCTTACGCAACACGCAACGCTATTTACGCTACGCAGTATAAAGACCAAAATGCGACGCGTTACGCTATACGCGTTTTAATTTTTAAAACACGTTAAATCACGATTTTTGTTTCATTAGCAATTTGATTGATAGTAGCTTTTAATTTTTGCTATGAAAGTCACCACTTTTCCATTTTTGATTCATTAGCAATTAGAGTGATACACCTCACATTTAAAAATTAAAAAAAAAAAAACATAAATAAAAAAAATAAAAAAATGAAAAACTGGGACATTTGAAAATCCAATATACAATAATAGGAAAAAAATAAAAAAAAAATCTTAAATTTTTAACCCACTCGTGCACATTATCAGAAAGCGAGTGAATGTCGCACTTATGGGAGAATTTAGATCGAACCCAACAAAAAACAATAGAATTTCAAAGTATGAAATTATGTTTTTGTTCTATAGTTATATCAAAGCAAGAACATCAATTGTAATTCTGATTTTGTTCTATAGTTATTTTCTTCTCTATATGTGCAATAACGAGCTAGATAAAACTGTGAAATTAAGCGAGCCACTTGTAAGCTCAGCTTGACTCGACTCGACTCGTTAAGGCTCGATTCGGCTCGACTCGATTGATAAACGAGCCAAGCTAGAGCTCATTTAAAGCTCGTTTGCATAACGAACCGAGCGAAAGGCTCGAAAAGATAATTTTTATGTAATTTTATATAATTCGACTTATTATGACTCGAGCTTGGCTTGTTAATATGGATAAATGAGCTGAGCTCGAGCTCGATTATGAGCTTGTTAAGTTAAAGAGCCAAGCTCGTCTCGTTATTTACCAAATATATTATTTATTTTACACCAATTCGCTAACATGACCAAATATACTATTTGCATATCATATGCACTAATTTATATTATGTGCACAACATATAGAACACAATTGCTATACATCAATTATACAGCCTATTGTGGAGTTTTTTTGTTGACAACTTGTGGGTTTTAATCCTCTGTAATAAATCAAGCCTAGTGCAAATATATTGCAAATTGTATTATATTATGTTTGGTAAAACTAGCTGATAAGCTAACTCATAACTTATAATAAGTGATTTTCGATCTTATAACTTATATCTTATGACTTATAGTTAAAAAACCAACTTATATGATAAAAGTGTTTGGTAAAATTAGCTCATAAACTAGCTGAAATAAATTTCAACAATATTATTTGAAAAACCACCTAAATAAGCTTATGAGATAAATTTAAACTTTTAAAAAAGCTCGTCTTACTTAATATATGGAAAAATGGAAAAATCCAATATAGTCTGGTTCTCAGTTTTGTTGTTATTCATATATGGGTAAACTCAATATAGTTGGCACAATGGTACTTTGGAAAAAGGGTCCTAACACAACTCAATATATTTGAGAAAGTGCATCAAATTATGTTTATTGATAAGAAAAACGTATTAAGAAATACATAGATTCAAGTATATTCTCTATACTCAATTATAGGAATTGCAGATCGAGACTTTGACCTTAAGAGTCAACCATGGCCCTGAAATTTGATAACATTATGAATCAAAGATCAGTGTTAATGTTGATTTTATTTTCACAACAAAAGCAGTAACCCAAATACTGAATCAATTGGACAACTATATTTTACTTTCGAATTGAAATATCATATGTTAAAATAAAATATGTCTTTTAAGCATCAATAAATATTATTTTTAAAAAGTATCGCAAGTTAATCTACGTGACGATTGAAAGGAAACCGTTTCCCATTAGAGCGACCAAATGATTAATCAGTCCATGTATAATTATTTCCAACGGTCACCATTTTCAAAACCCATTAAAATTCTCACTGGAAACCCTTCGCTTTCATTTCGAGAAATCAATACATTTCAAGAACACACCAACCTCTCTCAATCTGCGCAACAATGGCTGACAATCAAGAACACGCAAACCCTAAAGAAAGGGAAATCCCAGTTTTCACAGTCCTGAAAAATAACTGCATCCTCAAGAACATCTTCCTTCTCGACAACCCTCCTTCAGTTTCAGTTTCGGACAATGTCGATCGAGAATCGGAAATGGAGGAGATATTGATCGCGGGCAGGCATCCCGATTGCAATATCAAATTGGAGCACCCGAGTATTAGCAGATTTCATCTCCACATTCACTCGAAACCCTCCTCTCGATCTCTTCATGTGACCGATTTGTCCTCTGGTAAAGATTCCTCTTTTCATTTTTCTCATTTGATTTTAAAGACCTTTCCACTCTGTGTATGCGTTTTCGCATGAAAATCTGTATTTTTTGTTCCTATTGGTGGGTTTTCTTTTTTTCATTTTCATTTTTTATTTTTTGTCTACCCTAGCTCTGATTGTATATGTCGATTTTTGTGTTTTTTGGACTCAGTGTGGATATTCTCTGTGTTTTCGTGCGTGGAGCATTTTTTTACATGAAAATCATTTTCCCTTTATCTTGTTGTTTCTCTTTAAAAATCCATGGCCTTTTCTGACGGCATTGTGAATTTGTGATAGCTGTTGTGTCTATTAAGTTTCAACGGCTGAGTTTTTCTTTATCATTTATGGTGGGTTTCCTTTCCAGTTCACCTGTGTGCTGTTTTTCTTGA